GGGGTTTAAATGGAGAGAAAATGTTTTGAGAAACGATGTACAAATGCGCTTTACACAACTGATGTGTGTATGGATTGGGATAACAGTTGTATGAGTCCCTAATAAAATGTTAAAAAAGAAAAAAAAAAACAAAAAACCACTAGTGGGGAGCTAAACAAAAGGAGAGCTACTATCATTTGAAAAACAAACTGCCTTATGAGACTAAAAACATACATGCAGTCAGTGTTAAGCGACATATCCTTGCGAGTATGTGTGCAGTGAGGGCTCGGAACTCAGAATTCACGTTAAGCCTAACATTACCCCTAATTACTTACCTCTCTGAGCCTTAGCTCTAAAACACAGAGCTTGACTCTTTTTAGGATCTTTCATTAGTACTGGTCTTGTTGGGCGAATCGGAAATGAGCGGAGTGGGTACAGAAACCAATTCCAGCAACCTCAATGGTGTAGTCTAGGCCTGAGGAACCTGAGGAAACCTATACCAAGTCACTGCCCTATTTCCTCTTGAGTGTTATTTAACAGAAAAGATGAATAAAAGGTGACTGAACTTCTTTTAATATGTCCCCACTTCCTTAAAGCCAATGATCCCAAAGCTGCATGAAGAGTGTAGTATCAGGATCGGAGGCTCATTGCCATCTTGCGATATGCAGCTGACACAAGCTTGCTTGCGGAAAAGTGAGGACGTGAAGCACTTACTGACGAAGATCAAGGGCCACAACCTTCACTGTGGAGTACAACTCAAAATAAAGAAGACCAAAATCCTCACAAATGGACCAGCATCGATGCAGAAACGGGCTAACCTATCAAGGATTGTGTCTTGCTTGGATCCACAGTCATGAGACCCAGAGCTGAGTTGTTGCCCAACTGGTACACAGTCCCTCCCTCTTCAGAATACTGGCAGGCAAGGATGTTTGTTACTTTGCGGACTCAAGCCATGGCATTTTCCATTGCTTCAGACGCATATGGAAGTTGGGACACCGAATAAGGCAGGCTGAGAAGAATCGATGTACTGTACTTGAGCTGGGGTACCAGTGAATACTGAAAGTCAAAAGGACAATGCGATCTGTCTTGGAAGTAAGGTCAGAGTGTTCCTTAGAAGCAAGGATGGCAAGACTTTGTCTTACACTCTTTGGACATGTTGTCAGGCGAAGGCAGTCCGTAGCGAAGGAGCTCCTGTTTGGTAAAGTAGAGGGGCAGCACAGGAGGAGCAGGCCCTCCGGGACAGACTGCCCCCTTGACTGCACAGTGGCTCAGGAACAGGAGCAGCTGTGAGGGGCAGAACACTGGGCCTGTTTCACTCTCTTGTGCACAGGGTTCTATTGTGCACACGGTCACTATGGGGTGGAACAAGTGGATGCCGCCTAACACCAACATGTACGATGTAAAAGAATCTTACCTATGGTAAGAAGAGCGGGAGAGAAACAGATGTATTTCATAGGTACTATGTGGTCCAGGAAAATAAAAGTTGGCTTTATTTTAAAACAGTAACTTCCTTATATTGAAGAACTGGCTAAAATCCAATACTGATACAAATACAAACTTTTAAGGACGTCAACATATGCATGTCAGGTGAATTGTCTGAATGTTTTCTTAAAGGCAGAAAATTTAAATCATATAAAACAAAAACCATACAACGTACATGAACTATGTGGGTAAAATACACCGATTCAAATTTAGGCTAAATAACCAGAGCATGTGAATTACCAGGACTAATTTTTGTTAAACTTAAAAGAGAACGTTGCACATATTTTCAATAACTTAATCCCCCCGAAGTGCAAATTTTTTCTCTAGATTTAAATAATATATCCGAATATCTACACATGGTAGGAGATTCTGGCATTAACTATAGCTGAGTTCATCAGAAACAGAAAGCCATGACAATTGATCAAGCATTTACAAACAATCCAGAATAAACCCTTGGGTATCTTCAACGAGAGGCAGTGCCCCACTCTCCAACAACACCTACAGTTGATGCTGCACCGCGCAATCCAACGGAACTGCATCCTGACCAATGATCAACAATCTACGGGGAATGATTTTGCCTATTTGATAATGTTTCATTATAAAACAAATATTCTGGCCAGTATTTAAAATGTAAACTGCATTATGCTGACATTTCTAGAAGTTATCGACTTAGAACAAGTTGTCTTTATTATGCCATTTATTGAACCCCCAAAAAAGATGGTACATTCTGGTTTTTTATATAAGAAGGGATTTAATCCACTAAACTGATTCCTCACTATTCAACAACTTCATTTAATTCCCCGGCACAAAGGCACGGAGGGGCTCGCATGGTTCTCCATCTCCCTTTATGAAAAAGCACTATGGAATTTTAGCAGCGAATATTATTCTGCTCCTCCTGAAACCCCACCTCCGAGAAAATGAGAGAATCTAAAATATCAAGTTCTGCCCAAGGCAAGAGATTCCAATCTCAAATTAAATATTTCATGGCAACAACTTCAGTTATCGCAGCTGTGCCATCACTGTATTATAAGTTACCACTGAAAGCAAGTGAAGACAACAGCAGCACCCTCATCAATGCCATTACTGCTCTCCACATAAGACTGTTTCGTATCCAAATATATGCATATAAAACATTTAAAAAGATAAATTAGTGTTTGCAAATTAAAAACCTCATAGTTACATCCAGAAATGTCCTTTCTAGGCTCTGAACCCCTTACGTTGGTTTCGAGATGAGGAACCTGAACATGCTGACATGTCTGAACACACCTAGATTACAGATAGCTCCAGATTTGACCATCTCATGAAAAGAAACAAAACTCGGTGCGCTTTTGTTACTGCTCAGTCCTCTATTTAAATTTGAAAGGAGATCACTGAATGCCAAGGTCAGGTATTTACTAAATAGTGTTGATTCTACCACCAATTTAGTCCTAATACACCCACAGCTGAGCCCGAAGAGTCTTTCTCAGCTCATTGTCTATTAAGAACTGGAAACATTTTCAATTAAAGCCTTCATTTTTCCCGTAGACTTCAACATGTGTGGCCCGAACTAGGAGAGAAACAAACAAAACATGAGAATAAAGAAACCGAGTCACCTAACAGCAAGACAATGCTTCCACCCCACCCCCAAATAATGGATCAGAAAGGTGGCTCACCTCGCATGAAAAAGCAAGCGGCTGACAAGATTAAAACCTGTAAGCTTTCTCCTTGTCGGCCTGTACCTTCCTGCTGGTCAGTCACCTGCTTGCTGCCAGAGCCCTGCTAAGTTACCCACACCACTAGGTTCACACGACTTTGTACCCACTCTGCACCCACTGGTCTGTGATCTTCCTGCGCTCTGCATCACTGCATGTTGACTTCTGCTTCCTGAGTCTGAAGAGGGACTCATGGACTACTATCGGACTTAGGAACTTGAGTTGGAATGATATGTTTTCTTGATAATTACTTCTGTTTTTTGATAATTACTTCTTGATACAAGGTTCTTTCTTACCAAAACCTAAAACCTGATAGGTCTCTATGTACACATCATGAAAGCAAAAACGGAACCAAATTACTTCCTAGGAAGAAGTTAGCATGGTAGCAATACACTAATGTAGGCCCCATTTTTCTTGAGAAAAAGAAGTTCCATTTCCTTCCAATCTCTAAGGAATTTCAAAGATGCTATATTTTGAGATGCCCACCTCTCTGAAATTGAAAAGCACGTATCTTCCACAATAGTAATTTGGACAAAGGGAACTTCTGAATTAGTACTGATAAGATTCTACACCACCTAGGAAGGCGACCAGTGGGTGCTGTGGACTAACCACAGAGCCCGTGGCTCAAACTCACCAGCCACTCCTTGACCAGAGACTCTGCTCCCTTACAGATTTACAAACCCATTTAGGGGCACTCTGAGATGGAGTTGGAGGCTGGCACGGTTTTGTTTGTTTGTTTGCGAGCAATGTAGCAGGAACCCTGGTGGCACTGTCATGTATGTCCTGGACTGCTAGCCACAAGGTCAATGGTTCAAACCCACAAGCTGCTCTGAGGGCGAAGGAGGAGGCTATCTGCTCCCGCAAAGATTGACAACCTTCAAAACCACGCACAGAGTCGCTATGGGTGGAAATCAACTCTGGCAGCTGAGTTTTGCAATCCGTTCAATCTTCACCTATGAAATGGCACATATTCTTTGAGCCCAGGATGTACCCCGAACTCTTCGGAAAGCTTTAAGAAAGCGTCCTATGAGAAGCTGATCTTTCATGGCTTTGAATTTCTCTTTCAAAACATCAATTGTTCCCGAAGATATAAATTTATCACAAGGCATTTTCATTTTGTTATCAAATTTAAAAAAAAACAACAACAACAACTCACTGTCACTGAGTCAATTGTGACTGACAGTGAGCCACAGGACAGGGTAGAACTGCCCTTTGTGAGTGTCCAAGACTGTTACTCTTTCCAGGAGAAGAAAGCCTGTCTTTCTGAGGACAGCAGCAGCGAATGGTTTTGAACTGCTGACCTTGTGGTTAGCAGCCCAACTCATAACCACTATGCTACCTGGGGTCTTCCTCTTCATTTAAATATAAATGTAACGAGGCACGGGATATTTAACATTGGAGAATGCTAAGTAGTGAGGCGAGAGACTCATTTTTGTTTTTTTCTCTACATTTTTTTATGTTCCAAATTTACTACTATAAAACTAAAAAACCAAAACTACTATTTCTCTATTCTGTAAGTAAGGGGAGATGAGCATAAATGCTCGGCCAAGATATCTTCTTTCCAGCTACCTGCAATCTATTTGTAGGTAGCAACTAAACCCCACGTCACACACTTTGAATCAAACGTCTGTCTGCTGGAGGGGAGAACTCTGCACTAACACTCACCCACACGGCTTCCGAGGTGGTCTCTGATTCAGACTTTGGAATTACTTTTTCAACCTCGCTTTGATATCGAAATGCAAATTTCTTTTTCAGAGCCTCAGCAATGAGGGCAGCGGGGTCAGTCATGTCCACGGGCTTGGGCTTGACGTCTTGCTCTGACCTTAGGGAAGCGAACAGAATCCGGGGGCACATTTCAGTATGCTGGCACCCCAGGTTGGGGGGTCATCTGTTTGCCTTACATATCCCATAACACCCCTCTAGCAGGAGACACTGCAGCCAGACACTGGAAAATACTAGTAGCAGTGAGATGAAACCCTGGATTTAGGATTAATCAAGAGCACAAAAGTACCCAATTAATGGCCACTGCAGACATCTCAAGAGCACTTCCTTCTGAGCTTCAGAGGAAACTCAGTTCTCAGCCTAAAGGCGATTTCTTACTTTGTTAGGGAGAGGCTGGGCAATACAAAGACTTTATAAAAAAGGGTCGACATTTATTAAGGTGAGGAAAACACTGTTTTAAATACAGAAATGTTTACTGTGTTCATCTTTTTGCTGACGTATATAGCCATTGGATCTTGTCCTTTTAAAGCAGCGGTTCTCAACCTGTGGGTCGTGACCCCTTTTTTTTGGGGGGGGGGGCTGAATGACCCTTTCACAGGGGTCACTCGATTCATAACAGTAGCAAAACTACAGTTATGAAGTAGCAATGAAAATAATTTTATGGTCGTATGAGTTTATGGTTGTATGGATTGTGCTAAGAGTTGCATGAGCCCCTAATAAAACCAGTAGCGTGAGTGGCGATACTGGGAGGGTAGAGGGAGGGTGGGCTGGAAAGGGGGAACCGATTACAAGGATCTACATGTGACCTCCTCCCTGGGGGATGGACAAAAGAAAGATGGGTGAAGGGAGACGCCGGACAAGATAAGATATGACAAAATAATAAGTTAAAAATTATCAAGGGTTCAAGAGGGAGGGGGGAGCGGGGAGGGAGGGGAAAAAAATGAACTGATGCCAGGGGCTTAAGTGGAGAGCAAATGTTTTGAGAATGACGAGGGCAATGAATGAACAAATGTGCTTTATACAATTGATGTATGTATGGATTGTGATACGAGCCCCTAATAAAATTGGGGGTCATCACAACTAAGGAACTGTATTAAAAGGTCATGGCATTAGGAAGGTTGAGAACCACTGTTTTAAAGTAAAAACTTAAAGGAATTATTCACGGTAGTCATTTCATAACAAAATTTCAAGACCAGTATACTTTGTTTTATGAGATGTGAAAAAAAATGGGGAAAGTGAGAAAAATGGTAAATGTAGCCTCACCTCTTCACCGAACGAAGTTTGACACTATTCATGTCTTTAAGAACTTCTAGCATGTTTGGCATGTCAGGTTTCTTTGGACAGTTGTTAACCAGAGTCTTTCCAGCACCGGCTTTTTGCTCCCGTCGTTCTCTGATCAGATCGATGGCAGATCTACTTTGGTGGAGCCCTGCGGCAGGGAGTGGGGGAGGAGGTGGCGGGGGTGGTGGCGGCGGCGGAGGTGGGACCATGGATGGTGCTGCAGTAACAGATGTGACAGCATCTAAGTCACCTACAGATATAAGAAAAATACATATTTACTCCTGCTGGTGGCATACAAATGAAACACTAGGTTTTAAGAGAAAAATTATATGGAAGATTTTCTGAAAACGGAATTCTGTAGAAGCCCCTCAGTTCTGAGTAGGACGGCAGATCAGTATTGCATTTCAGTTATGGCATCGCCCATACCCAAACTTTCCCACTGGAAAAGCTCCATTCAGCGAACCAGGGGAGTGCTGTGCCAGCGTGACTGTGGCACAGGGCAGAAGCTATTTTCAGCAGAAGTCTGAGACGGGCTGTGCTGCCCCATATCCGTTTTCAATAGCTCCACTGTTTGTCAGTCCCATTATAATTACTTGGGAGAAAAACCTATTTGATAAATTCATGATTCTCTAAACATTACACTTACGACTTACTAAGCATTAAAAGCCTACGACTAGAATGTTTCTAAAGGGAAAGTTTTAGATTTATTGTGAAGCAAAGTTCTGGAGGAATAAAGATTGCTATACTTAATTTCTAAAAGAAGTAGTAGTTAATAGGCTATTATTATTTTTTTTAATTCAGAGATTACAAAATGAAGACCAAAAATGTATTCTTCTGCATAACTTGCAGATAGTTTCATGTTGGCTGAACTATATCAACTGAGGAGGGAGGGTGAGGGAATCTTGATGCCAAAGAGTTTTATTCAAAATACTTAAGATTGTATGGTGCCCGACTATCAAAAGGTATAGCGTCTGGAGTCTTAAAGGCTTGAAGGTAATCAAGCGGCCATCTAGCTCAGAAGCAACAAAGCCCACATGGAAGAAGCACACCAGCCTGTGTGATCACGAGCT